ATTTTATAAGGCTAGGAATTACTCAGTTTACTACATCTTATTTCACTCTAAGGTGCCTTCAAGAAAATAGAGCTGCTTTGATAAGAATGTTCACATCTAATGAATGGAAGTCCTCTAAGTTTGCTAAGATAAAGGATGAGAGAGTTATAGAAGAATTGATTTTGGATAAAGAATTTTGGAAGGATATAATCACTTGTTTGAAGGCTGCATTTCCTCTTATCAAAGTTCTTCGAATGGTTGATTCAGATGAGGAAACTATGGGCTTTATTTATGAGGCAATGGATCAAGCTAAAGAGAATATTCAAAGTGCTTTCAATGGTGTTGAGAAAAGGTAACTAACTATAACTACTATCAAATTAAATTAGTCTCTATTTTGTGATCTATGTTGTATTGTATATAGATGGAAAGATGGAATACACAGCTCCATAGGCCTTTGCATGCTGCAGACTATTTTCTTAATCCTAGGATGCACTATAGTCCTAAATTTAAGGCTGATCTTGAATTTAAGTGTGAACTATATGATTGTTTAACAATGATGGTACTTGATGAAGATGAACAATGTAAAATTGATTGTCAACTTGATTCATTTAAAAAGCGAGCTGGTAATTTTGGTAGTCACTTGGCTAGAAAAACTATTGATATGCGCCTGCCAACGAATTGGTGGATGTCTCATGGAGATGAGCATCCTGAGCTTAAAAAATTTACTATTTGAATATTAAGCTTGACATGTAGTTCTTTTAGATGTGAACGTAACTGAAGTGCCTTTGAGATGGTAAGTAGAAATTCTTTTTTCTAAAATTATGTACTAGGCTAGCCAACTACTTTTTTTTATCTTAAATTATAATTTAATATATTATTATTTGTTTAGGTGCATACTAAAAGAAGAAACCGTTTGAAGCAAAATACAATAAATGATGTGGTATTTATTATGACAAATTCAAAATTGGCCAAGAAAAAGACAGCTAGGAGAGTGAAGGATCTTCACATAAATGTAGATGATATTCCATTTGACAATGGGTAGATAGTGGAAAATAATGATAGAGGAAATCATGAAGATTTAGGCCTATAAGACAATTTGGAAGATGAGAACATTTAGGTTGATGCTCTTAATGAAGATGAGGACTTGGAATTAGACCAAGGTTCAAACCAAGATGGTGGTGTTGGTGATGTTCCTAATATAGACAATTTAGACGATGAAGGAGATGATGGACCAAATGAAGATGATGGGCCAAATGAAGATGATGAAGGAGATAACGAATTTTTTTATTATCAAAATATTTTAGATATTATAAAATAGATATTTAAAGTTTGGATATTGATTTTGTATTTGGTTTGGAACTTTGGAATATGTTTATGTTGGACATGTTCTTAATATCATCTTTTAAAGTATTGTGGTTTGAATTAATGTTTTTATTTTGTTCCTATTTATACTATTTTATATGTATATATATAATTTTGTAGGATCTTACATTCTGTGTTACGATCTTGAACCTCCTCTTCGATCCTACATAAAATCTCGATTTTGACTACCATGTACATGGACTCAGAAGATGAGGACTAAAGAATAGAAGATTTTCAAAGAAAGACACGAGAAAATAAGATAACAACCAAGGAGAAAAATAACGGTAACCTTTTTGGGACCGAGAATAACCCAAAAACACACATTTTAGGGATTTTGGATCAAGTTTAGTTACCTAAGGACGAACATCAAACACAAAATAAGTGCAGCCAAAAACTTTAGGAGGTAAAAACAAAAGAAATTGTGATGGGAAAAGTATAGAGTGGAGAATCTCACCATGTAACACAGATGATGGCATCCGATTAATTAAATATGCAGCAGTAAAAACAACATAAGCTCAAAAAGATTTAGGAACTTTTATTTCAAACATTAAAGCACGGGCTACTTCCCTAAGATTACGATTTTTACGTTCAGCTACTCCATTTTATTATAGGGTAACAATACAAGAGGACTGATGAAGTATGTCATGTTTATTCATAAAATTAGTGAAGGATGCAGAAAAATATTCTTTAGCATTATCACTTCTAAGAATGTGCACACAAGTATTAAATTGAGTTTTAATTTCAGCACAGAAATTACAAAATATAGAAAAGACTTTAGATCTAGATTTCATAAAAAAAAGCCATGTTACATGAGAATAATTATCCACAAAAATAATAAAATATTTAAAATCAGATTTAGAAGTAACTGAACAAGGGCTCTAAACATCAAAATAAACAATTTCAAAGGGGGCATGAGGCTTTTTATTTAAACGAGATCAATAAACATTACGATGATGTTTAACAAACTAACATGACTCAATAAAAATTAGACTTTATACTAAGACATAATTTCCTAAGAAATCCTAAAGACGAATGACCCAGACGACAATGAGTTGGAAAAGAGACACTTTTTCATTCCTAGAAGCAATATAAGCTTGCGAAGTCCTTCTTCCAATAGATTCAGCTCATTAGATACCCTATCGCTACCAATAATTCTCTATGTCAGAAAAACACGAGAATAAAAAAAGAATGTTATTGAACAATTTAATGATGAAGTGATTTAGCTAATGGACAACAAATTTAAGGGAAATTGAGGCAAATATAAAACAAAAGATAAAGATAACGTTGAAACTGGGATGGTACACCCGCTGCCCTTAATATGGACTCTAGAACCATCAGTGAGTGCTACAGAAGAATGATAATTGGGTAGACAAAAAGAGAAAAGGATACCTGAATTCCCATTCATATGATTAGTAGCGCTAGAATCAATGACCCAATGCTGGGAAGAAGAGGAAAGACATGCAGTAAGATTAACTTTTTGGACAAAAGTGGCTGTAAAGGATACAAACAGTTGTTGGAAAATCTGAAATTGAGTATATTGAATAAATTCCTCATCACTTATACGTATAGTACGTCCTTTTTTCAGAGTAGCTATCAGTGATGGATACAAGGGGGGCAAGGTGGGGCTTGGGCCCCCCTCTTTGTTATATTTGTTTAGTTGGAAGCACTTAAGAAGACATTTGGATCTATCATTGATGTGCTCCTTGATGCTGACCACAAACAAGATCAAGTTCGTATGCGTAATTGGATATCTCACTTCATGACCTTGCTATCGAATTTATAGTGACAAACTAGATGAAGCAAAAGGAAAAGAAGTAAATAAGGTACTTTTCTCCATTTCATCTTCATTTCCTTTATATAATATTATATTTGTTTGTTATATTACTACTAGTATGACCCCTTTTCTCTCAGAATACGAAACATTAGTATTGACTTTAAGAAATTAATAAAAAATTGGATATTTGAGTACAATTCTCCTTGGCCCACCACCGTATCACACTCAGCAACATTACTACATTAGTTCACTCTTTGCCTTTTGTATTAGGAGTTGAACTTGAAAGCTTCTCTAATAAGCCAAATGAAAATATCATTTTATATATTTTCTTTTAATTTCTATCATCAGTGATTATCACATTTCAAGTTTTTTTTTTCAACTCCAAGCAACAACGATTCAGCGAGACAGACGACAACGAGAGAAAGAAGCAGTCCTTCTTCTAGGTTCTTTTTTATTTTCCACCATTCTTCTTGAATACAAGAATTAGTGGTATACTGGTATATTTTAAGCTTTATCAATAAATTTATTTTCTTTCGGCCCCCCTTTGAATGGTTTCTAGATCCGTCACTGGTAGCTGTATCAGGCTGAGACACTGAGTTAGCAAAGCGGGAATTACCTTGTGAGTGAAAAAATGATTGATTCCGTAGAGGATGAGTGCACTGATTCCGATAATGGCCAAATTTGCCACAGTTGTAGCACTATACAATACCATGACCTCCACTACTCCCACGGCCACAACTACCTCTACCACCTCTATCACCCCGGTGCTCGTATTGGGCTGCCAAGGCAGAGTGGTCAGGAGACTCATTTTCTATAGTGCTCTTGAGTTTATCAAAGGAAGACTACATAACTTTGGAGAAGACATTAGTAAGATTATCAACCTGCTTACTTGACAAAATCTAAAATCGAATTACCTAATATTTTGGATCAAGTCTGGGTAGTCAACCCAAAGTTATGAGTTTCTTTTGTTACACTATCATCTTGTCAATGGTTTTGCAGGCTAAAAGAGATTGTATCTCCTCGGTATGCTTCTTAAGCTCCAAAAAATAGTCCTTTAGCGTCCGCTTATTTTGTTTAGGTTGATAAATTTTCTGCAAGAGAACATACAACCGATTCAAGTTATCAGATTTTTCAAAAATAAATTGTAAGAAGTCCCACAACTCCTTCAAGGTTTTGCAATAGGTAATAATCGCTTGTATTCGCCTATCAACAGAGTTTACTAACAACGTAAGGATCTTTCTGTCGTGTATCATCCATGTGTCAACATCCTTAGGATTGACAGTTGTCGTTTCAGTCAAATGATTATCGTTTCCCATTCCACCCAGGCTAATTTCAAACAAATACTTCCACTCCATATTGTTCGTACCGTCTCCATCCAACTTAATATTAGTAAGTTTGGATAGAGATATAATCTCTATAACAGCCCCCTTGTGTTGCTCATCCTACACATCCTGGCTATCACATTTAGACATTGTATATCCACAAACAGTGATGGAATTGCCTGGGTTTCATCTCAATGGCTACAAAGAAATGCCGCACTCAAACTGTAAATGTTGAATTACAGCATATTCTGGTCACCGGAAAAAATTTTCATCCTCACAGCAGCCATGGTCGGCCTATTTGGCTAGTGGCGGTGGCGACTAAGGAAGAACCCTCGACGGCTCTGATACTTTGTAGAATTAAGAGAGAGATGCATAGAGAGAGAGACAGATTAGTGTGTTGGAATTAGGATACTCTACAATGTGTAGAGACCCTTATATTTATAAGGATACATATGTAACCCTGTTGAGCTAAGCCCATTATTATAATACTAACATAAACGTTAATCCTAATATGTCTATTATAGCTATTCATAATAAAAATGAACTTCCTGTCTTTTCTGCAGACGTGGTGGAGCATACTTGTGGGATGGCAAACCTGCAGATTGGAGAATTTGTCCCTAATGTCTGTAATGGGATTGATACATACTGCATCAGAGAGCCCCTTGGAGTTTGTGCTGGAATATGCCCCTTTAACTCTTCAGCAATGATACCATTGTGGGTAAGTATTTCATGCTAGGACTTTAGTCTTGTGTTTAGTTATTTTCAAGATTCATTTGATTTCGTTTTACTTGTATGGTGGGATAGCTTTGTTCTGTATATAGGCATGCTCCTTCCTGTAGGAATAGATCAATAAATTAATTAAATGGGGGAGGGGATTAACCTGAGTTTTACTTTTTGCACAACCAAGTTGATAAACAACCAAAATTAATGTAGTAAATCCATCTAATCTAATAATAGTATGTGATATGTATTGCTGCTGCTTCTGTTCATCCAAACTTTTCATCCCTGGATTATTATTTTTTTCTCAGTAGTTGTATTTAAGTTTCAAAAGCTGGATTTTAGTTTTTAATTATTTATGAAATAGTTTATTGCAAGTCATGAGTTATTGGGTTTAGGAAAAAATTAACAAACATGTAAGAAAAAAAATGAAGTCAAGTTAACAAATAGTGGTCTATCTAATAATCCTTTTGTATGAAAGAAGTAAATAATCTATTAAAAATACAGTGTCATGTAGGGTAGCTGGGAGAGATACAATTAACATGTAGCAATAAGCATTCCATAACAAAAAATGGTTTCCCAGATTATGTGTTCCTGCCTTAATGCTTAATTTTCTTGTGGGTTTGTTACTTCTTGGAGCCATGACAGATTGCTATTGAACATATTTGTGCTGATAATATGACAAAGTAGCACATTGAATTTTTCTATAACTTTTGTATGCCAGCACTTGAAATTTTCATATTTATGAACAACTTGTGTTCATATAAGTACATTAAATTTTGTCCTTGTGAAAGCTTTTGTATGCATCAGGTGAATGTTTCTAGTTTCTACTAAATTATTTCCTTAAACTTTTTCAGACGTTCCCTATTGCAATTACATGTGGCAACACTTTTGTTCTCAAGCCATGTGAGAAAAATCCAGGTATTTATTTGAGTCGATGGTATTATGGTATGTGAATTTATGGTTTGAAATCGTTTTAGGAAAAAATACCATGTGTAATAGTTTAATTTTGAATTCACACTTCTTAGTGTTGGCAACCTAGTTAAGTCATGGGATCAATAGTTTAACTGCACATTTAATAAATTATTATATAACTTGATAATAATTATAGTATAAGTAAAATATATTTTCAACATTGAAAGTAATAATTGTGTTTAAATGCAAGGAACCACCCTACCAAACCATGCATGTTATTGTTAACCCTTCTATTAATCATTTGTTCTAAGCAAACTTGTCATGTGACTTCACGTTCAAGTTTAATCCTTAGTCTCACCCAAATGTCTCATTTCTTTCCCAAACTTGTATCTCTCAAATGTAAATCTTTCCTTTTCAACTGATTGACACTAAGGTATCTTCCAAAATCCATGATACTGACTTTGTTATATAAGGATAAAAAATTGAGATAGATAGGACGTTTATTGAAAGTTTCTGGAATTAGCACAAACTAGGTTGTTTTGCATTGTAGAAATAACTCGTGCTGCGTGGTTGAAGTGCAAACCAGTGTACCTTTTTCCCTATCTTTCTTCTTTGATTTGGTTATGAGATTGATAAGCTTCAAGTGCATGATTATGTCATGTTTTACAAAGTGTTATCATAAAGGAAAGTAGAAAAGACAAAAGAATTAAAGAAAGCAAATAATTTAAATTTGATAGACTCAAAATTTAAGAAACTTTTAGGAACCTATCCCAAGCATAGGTAAAGGACGGGGTTGTATTATGTCTTTCACAACCAACTTATAATGTACATGAATCACTCATGATGATATTGTGCTCGGGTTAGAACCCAAAAGTAACGTATTGTATGACTTGAGTATAGTGTCAAATGAGCTAGAGCCGTTGTATTGACACCTGGCTGCAATGTTAAATGAGCAAGAGTCCTCACATTTGGTTGGACAAATTGGGTAAAGAAGTTAGACTAGGAACACTTGAGAGACAACAATTGACAAGGGTTCATATTGGTTTTGATTTTGGAGATTTAAATGTCAAAAGACAATCTTTATCTCTAAATGACACGACTTCTGAATTATGAACATTTATTATAAGAAACATTGTATCACTTGTAAGAGTAGAGTCTCAAGGTTGCAAATTGATTTCTTTTTGGTAAGTATTCATGATAAAAGAATTTACAACGCTTGCAAAGTGATTCCAGGATAGTCTTATTACATAACATAAGATCGTGGTCCTTGATGTTCGTTTTTAAGACAGGAAAACAGAGAACTTAACTAGTTATAACCCAAGAATCAATTGGGGGCTACTTAAATGTTATAAACAGCTGAATTTTAAGAAGCAATTAATAGAAGGTAATTGGAAAGCATCGGTAAAGGTAGTGCTAAACATCATTTGAGATGAGATGCCTAAAAAGTTCAAGAGAGTTGTCAAGACAATTTTGAGTCAATCAAGAAGTTTTTGGCTAAAGGATAAGGAATTTTGGTGGTGAAATGAAAGTGTGCAAGAGAAAGTTAGAGATAAAAGGAAATGTTTCAAAGCTTTGCATGTGTATGTAATAATGTAGAAAATTGACAAGGTATCAAAATATAAGAAATGAGAAAAGGCACAATCTAAGGCTTTTAAGGAATTCTATCAAGATCATGAGATGAAGAATGAAAAAAGAAAGATATATAAGCTTGTGAAAAATAGGGAAAGAAAATCTAGAGATTTGAATCAAGTTAGATGTGTTATAGATGGAAAAGACAAATTTTGGTTATAGATCAAGACCAAAAACAAACGGAAAGACAATTTCTATAAACTTTTTTATGATGGATAACAATGTTATCAATAGCGGATGACGACTCATGGCAGAGACCCAAAAAACTGCCATAAAGTTATGGCAGCAGCCATGGCGGGTATAACAAAATATATAAAAAATACTATAGGTCACAGAAAATGATAGAAAATAATTAACTCAAAATATATGTAGTATAACCCACAATCCAAGGCATAATTCAATACAAAATATGTGATTAGAAGCTTTTGATGATAAAAATTCTTGTTGAGCCATGTTAAGAGAAGCTGAAATAAAGATAAATTTTTTTTTTTAGGAAGAATAGAGAAAAAACAAACATGTGGAAGAAGAAAAAATTGAAAGATGGAAAGGGTAAAACTGAAATGAGGAAAATAAAGAAAAAACTGCAAGAGAGGGGGAAAAACAAGAAAAAAAATGCTACTGAAAAATGAGGTCGCCAAAGATGCAGGACTAGTCGCCGGAAATAGAGGTTGAGGTTACCGGAGATGGAGAACAGAATGGCAGCCGCAAGCAGAACAAGTAACAAGTCAAAGAAGAGAGAGATCTGAGACGAGTGCTACGTCAGAGAAGACAAAGAGACGAACAGAGATGAGAGAAGGATTAGAGACAAACAAAGATGAGATGGATTGGAGTCAAAGAGAGATGAATGAGATTAGAGAAGAGAGAGATCTGAGATGAGAGAGTAAGATTTTGAGTGACGAAGAAGAGGACTTACCTAAGTTTTCTATGTGGGTCACCCTTGGACCGGGTCGGGTTTGGGCCCAAATCACTGAATCCGCCAATGTTTAAATTTTTATGCCATGGCCGCTGTCACTGCCATGCGAGTAATGGCTGCCATGGCGCTGCCATGTAAAAATGCCATATAATAGAAGCGGTTTAACGGCGAGCTTAGAAACTGCCATAGTGATCTGCCATGGCGCACTATCTCAGAATTTGTGCTGCACTCAGATATGCCTAATCTTTGTTTGCCTTTCTTTTATTTCTCCTCCTGGTGGCAGGTGGTAGACTGTTTCTGGCCATTGTCACTTGCACTTATCACATCTGAATTTCCTCATCCTAAATCTGCCCCTGGTTTGTCAGTTTCCAAGCTCAAGGCTCTTTATTCAGGTTTTTCTGCCACTGTTTGCTTCATTTTCTTTCTCCTCTTGTTGATCCATGACCTCCTTTACTTGAATCTAATCTCTTGGTATCATGCTCTACCAGAGAAATCAGCCTAGCCCTGCCGCACTCCCATTGAAATCAACTGGGCCTTATTTTGCTACTAAAAGCATCTATTGGCTCCACAATAGTGCTAGAGAATCATCTTGGTCTAGCCATTCTACAAATTATATTGTTTGATTTTCTTTCTTTTTTATCTAAAGGTTTATATTTGTAGCAAGCTTAAAGCTTATTAATTAGTTTAAGGAGCATTCGAATATATGAAAATATCATATCATATGTTAGATAGATTAACCTCTAGGATTAGTTTTCCTATTTACTTATTATTTCTTAGGATTGGTTAGCATATATTTTTTATTGTATTGTGATTTGTTTCCCTAATCTATTAAGATTGTGTTTAGTATAAATAAGGGTTAACACGCTGGATTTTAAGAACAAATAACTCATCATAATACATCACAATACTCTATTATTTTTTGCAGTCTCTTTCTCTTAGTCTCCTTCCTCTATATCTTAAATCCCATAATTTCTGAAGTAGTATTTTCTTTCAGTAGTTATTGGGAGAGCGAATGGAGTTGTGTCCAGGGAGTAGATTTTTTTGTCATGTCTTTTGATTTCTCCTATTGCTATTCTTTTCCCACTGGATTTTTTCCTTTCCTTCTCTTTTTGTCCTACTGCACAGGTGTTGACAATATTGTTTGTCATTAAATTTCCAGGGGCTTCAATGATACTTGCAACACTAGCTAAGGAAGCTGGTTTGCCGGATGGTGTATTAAATATTATTCACGGTACCCATGTATGGTATACTACTCAAGAGTTAGGACCACTCTTTGCTTTAACATTATTTTGATTATAATTGTAGCCTAGTGTAAATCGTATGCTTATGACTTGAATTGTGACTTGGGTTTGCCATATTTATATGTGCTTGTTCTATATCTTTGGGTATACTCTTAGAAAGGGTGTTTCTGGCAGCAACTCTTATTCACCATATATCTTTGGGTATAGTCTTAGAAAAGGGGTTTGCGATGGGACTACCAAAAACTTTGATATTTCTTTTAAAAATTGTTCTAGTATTGAAAAATAAAGTAAGATTAATTTTCAACTTAAAGATTTTAAACGTAAATCAAAGTATTTTGGTAGTCCCATAGCCATAGTTGCACTTCAAAAGAGAACTCTAGTCCAATGGGGAGAATCTTATGGTGATCAACATCTAGAGTTGCAATGATTTGCTATCTATGTATTAAGCTTGACATGCAGTTCCTCTGTTTGTGAACATGATTAGAGTGCACTTGAGATAGTAAAGTTTTAGATTTATGATAATGTATTTCATTCTTAAAGTTACTTGGTACATCTATTAAGTGTTAATTGATTTAGTTTTTATTTAGGTCCACATGAAGAGAAGAAATTATTTGAAACAAAAGATAATGAATGATGTTGTCTTTGTGATGAAAAATTCTATATATATATATATACACACACGATGTTTGGATAGTGGAAAAAGCTTAAAATTCAGATTGGGATATGGATTTGAAGACTTGTTTCCAATGGAAAAAGATGGTGATGATGATATTGGGTTGGCATGTCTTAATGATTTAGAAATTTGTAATTTGGATTAGTTTGCGATTTGCTAAAGGAGGAGATGTTCACTGTAGTCAAAATCGCGATCCAACTCGTAAGATCGGACAATTTTACGGTCTTTTGCAGGTCCTTTGATCACGTTCCTATGTTGCAATGTGATTTTTCGAGATCGCTAGAATCGCACGATCTTCCTCATGAAATCGTGGAAGTGTGCGATCTTGGGCGAGTTTGATGGAGCCCCATTTTCTAAAAAAGCCCAATTACCCGATTTGACCTGCCCTGTTTTTTTTATACAACTTATGTAATCTCATATTTTAGGTTTTTTTTTTTCTTCTCTTCTTGCTTGCCCCTTTCTCCACCTACGACGCAGAGTTCTCTTCCTTAGCACTGCCGACGCAGAGTTCTCTTCTTCCTTAGCACCCGACCCACACTTCTCTTCTTCCTTAGCATCGCGACCCACACTTCTCTTCTTCCTCAGACTCGCGACGCACATTTCTGTTCTTCTCCAGCACTGTGAATCTGTTTTCTCCATTCTTTACCATTTTTTCCTTCAAATCACCTCTTTCTCCACCATTTTTGGATGCGACCAAGACTTTGGGGTGATTGAGTGGTGGATTGGTTCAGTGCTTTGCAAGATTGATTGTCTACCTATCATGGTTTTGATATTTTGCCCTGTTTGAAGATGTCTGCACGTGGGAAAAGTACACCTGCAATCTAGAGAGGGCAACTGGAAAGTAGGAGAGTGATTGCAAGTCCTACCATTGGTCACACTTCTACTGGCTTAGTGAGCTGCTCCGTTGGTGCAGTTGTGGCTGGTTCTTTGCGAAAAAATACTCATGGAAACAGGAGTGATGTGGCATGGATTATCTGTGGATGGAGATGCACGAAAAATACAATGCAACTTTTGTCGAAAAATAATAACTGATGGAGTTTACCATTTAAAACATCATTTGGTCGGAACACAGAAAGATGTGGGTGCTTGCTCTTCAGTTAGTGATGAAGTGAGAAAAGAAATTTGGCAAGTTGTGTCCTCCTTACAAGAGAAATTAATGAAGAAATCAAATAGCAAACTCAAAGAACTTCTTGTAGAAGGTGATGGTGGTGGTGATTAGGGGTAAAAAAGAAAAGGGAGTGAAGTTGAAGGTAGTGGGAACATTTTCAAGAAGAGAGGAGTAAGTAATCAAGTCACTCTCAATAACATATTCAAAAAGAATTTGAGTGAAGAAGTGTGTCAAGATATTGTTTCTTTTTTTTATAACAATGCCATACCATTCAATGTGGCAAGAAGTGAAGAATTTCATAAGATGTTGGAATTGGTTACAAAATATGGTGTTGGATTAAAGCCACCTTCCTATTATGAAATCAGAGTTAAGTATTTGAAACATCATGTGAATTTGACCAGGCAAGCTATTGAAGCACATAGAGAAGAATGGAGAAAAACAGGATGCACAATAATGACATATGATGGACCGACCAGAAAAGTAGAACTATGTTGAATTTTTTAGCTAACAGCCCTATGGGTACAGTTTTTTTGACTTCAATTGATGCATCTCATATATCTAAAACAACTGACAAATTGTTAAAATGATAGATGATATTGTAGAGGAGGTTGGTGAAGAAAATGTGGTTCAAATTGTGACTGACAATGCAGCAAATTATAAGGCTGTGAGTGAATTGTTGATGGAGAAAAGGAAGAAACTATATTAGACACCATGTGTTGCTCACTGCATAGATTTGATATTGGAGGATTTGGAGAAGAAGTTAACCATTCATCAAGAGACCATCTCAAAGGGAAAAAGAATTACTACTTATATTTATTCAAGGACTTCCCTAATTTCTTTATTGCAATTCTTCACAAAGGGACGGGATTTGGTGAGACCAGCCATGACTCGCTTTGCTACGTCTTACCTTACTGTGGGATGTCTTCAAGAGCATAAGGGAGCATTGGTTAGAATGTTCACATCTAATTAATGGAAGACTAGCCGCTTTGCTAAATCAACAAACAGAAAGTGTGTTGAAGATGTGATTATGGATAAAACTTTTTGGAAAGGCGTTGTTGTTTGCTTAAGAGGTGCATATCCTATAATCAAAGCTCTTCGTTTGGTTGATTCGGATGAGATTCCAATTATGGAATTCCTTTACGATGAAATGGACCGAGCTAAAGAAAAGATAGCAAAGGCCTTCAATGAGAGTAAAAGAAGGGAAATAAATTATTAAGTTCAATTTAAAATTTTAGTTATTTTTGTTTGAAAATTAATTTAATTTTTTCATATATTAGTTATCTCTCTCTATGGAATGTCATTGATAAAAGATGAGACAATCAACTCCATAGGCCATTGCATGCTGCAGCCTATTATCTCAACCTTTTTTTACACTACAATCCTGGTTTTAAAGCGGATTTTGAAGTTAAATGTGGATTATATGATTGTATAGAAAGGATGGTGGAAAATGATGAAGAAATGACTAAAATTGATGCTCAACTTGAAGATTTCAAGGCAAAAAAGAAGTTTTTTGGTGGCAAGGCAGCCCTAAATGCACTTAAAACTAATATCAAAACTTCAGCACAATGGTGGGAATTTTATGGAGATGGACATCCAGAGCTTCAAAGATTTGCTATTCGTATATTGAGCTTGACATGTAGCTCCTCTGGATGTGAGCGTAATTGGAGTGCTTTTGAGATGGTAAAATTTTAAAGCTATGAGAAATTGCATTCTTTTTCTTTACCTATTAAGCACTAGCAAATAATCAATTGCATTTATATATTTTTTAGGTCCACACAAAGAGATGAAACCGTTTGAAACAACAAACTATGAATGATGTTATTTAGTGATGGCTAACTCAAAATTAGCCAAGAAAAAGACATCTAGAAAAGCTATAGAGTTTAATCTTGATGATTTTTCATCTGATGATGAATGAATTATGAGCAATGAAAGTTCATCAAATGCTGATGATTTAGAAGTTGGTGACTTATTGGACTTGGATTTGAATCCAACACTTGGGTCAAGTTGGAGATGATTCCAATGACGCTGATGATGATCCTTTAAATTTAGATGATTTAGAGATTCCTACTTTTGATGATGACTTTGATGGAGTTGGAGATGAAGAAAATGAAGACCAAATAGAAGATGATTATTATGATCAAAATTTGAATGATTTGTTAGAATAAGGAATACCAATTTTGGACTCTTTGACTAGTTTGTTTTTACTATTGTACTATTTTGAGTTTTATGTGTAATTGACTTGAGAACATATTTATTGTCATTAATGATTGAGTTGTGATTATCTTTTATGAATTTAAGACTATTTATTCCTTATTTATCTTCTTTTTTGTGTGCATTTATATGTTTAAATATAGTTTGATACATTAGGTAGGATCTTACGATCCACTCTACGATCCTACGAGTTACGTATTTTTCTTTCCCTCCCGATCTTAAGTAGGATCTCGATTTTGACTACCTTAGAAATGTTGTGGAAGATGATGAAGACGAGGATAACATGGAGGATGATTATTGTGATCAAAACTTGAATGATTTGTTAAATGATTAGAGTTGGAGTGTTGGACTACTTTCTTTTATCCTTTAGTTTTATTATGTGTTGTTTTTGTTTTGTTAAAAACACGTGTCTTTATCACTTTTGAGTTGTTTAAGACCTTATGAATCTTTAAGTTTGATTAAATGTTTGGTGTGATTTAAGGTTTTTCTATATATGTTTTTTTCTATTCATATAGATATGTATTTTAATATAATTTTGCATTTAGTTGACTCTGACAAGTCCTGTTATGATCCAGCAATCTTATGATCCAAAACTCCCTTCTGTTCCAACCTTGAAACTCAATTTTGATGACCTTGATCTTGAGGACTGATTTGAGGGTTTACTCAATTTTTAAGAGGTCCTTGGATTATTATCCTTGTAACAAGCATGGTGCATATAATCTATACGCCTTAGCATGAGAGGGAGTGTTAGAAATGCATATTATTAGGCAGTGTATAATATATATAAAATAATTAGGAAAATTGCATCTTTTATTTATTATATTTGTTCATAATTTCATATAAATATACAGTTCATAGTCAAGTTGAGAAACAGTTTTTATGGCATCTCTCTCTCTCTCATTATAGGCACACAATCATAATAAAATTTAATGCATGTTTTTGGCTTTTATTTGGTCAGGATATTGTTAATTACATATGTGATGATGAAGATATAAAAGCTGTATCATTTGATGGTCCAATTACAGTAAGTTTGGTGCTTAAATTGTTCTTTTTTTTTCCCATTTTTGCTTTCTCTCCTTACCAGACTAAGCCACCATAGGTTAATTTAGGGCTATGTTCAATTTAGAGTTATATTCTAACGAGTAATATTTTTGTTCTGTACAATTATATACTCTGCACACCTTTCTCTCACAAAATACAGTGAAGGAGTGATTTGCAGTTTTTGCACACTGCAATTTTGTTGATATATTTTATATTTACTTTACACCTTGTTCACTTATTTTTAAGGCAGAAAAGCACATATATGCCACGGCTGCTGCTAGAGGGAAACGTCTTCAGGTTATTGCTATTATGTTTATTTCTCTTGGTTCTTGCATCACTCCAAATGCATTTTGTGACTATTAGGTTGGACATTTAATAGTGCATGTACTGGCTGGCTAATTGGTCATTATCTACATTAGTCAAATGCAGGCGGCATAAATCATGTAGTTGTCATGTCTGATGCTAATTTGGATGCTACTCTAGATGCCCTTGTTCCTGCTGGCTTTGGTGCTGCAGGAGAGAGGTGCATGACTTTAAGTGCAGCAATTTTTGTTGGAGGTTCAATGCAATGGTATCCCCTCTAGTTTGACATTATTTATTGAGTTCTTTTAGATTTTTCTTTGTATTATTATTTCAATAAGCATAACTTCTTCATTAGTATCTTCAGTAGCTACTAAAAGAGGAGTTGAACCTATAACTACCATTTAATACTACTATGTTACTTAATGAAATCTGTAATGATGAACTGTTTAGATCTTGAGTTTAACTTAAGCATAAATTGCTGATTTTAGATATCAAGTGGAAAAATGTTAAAAGTTAAAAGATGCATAGTTTGAAGATTTATGTAAAAAGTAGTTCTTCAATTCCCCTTTCACTCCCTTTCCTTTGTTAGCCTCTTCTACATTTTTCCCTTTCTTACCTCTACCAATTATTGATTCTTATTTGAGTCCTATCATGTTTCACTTATTGAGTAGAAACCTGCTTGTTTTTTAGCAAAAGTTAGAGGTCTTAATGAACTTGGGCATTTATGAGCAATATAAGGTGCTCTTTATGATCAAGTCTGTTGCATTTATCTATTTCCAGGGAAGAAAAACTAGTGCAGCGTGCCAAATTGCTTAGAGTGAATGCAGGAACAGATCCTAGTGCAGACATTGGTCCAGTTATTAGCAAAGAGGTGCAAATATTTATCTTTGTTTCCCCAAGTGTTAAATTGTTTTAATGCCACTTGATGATATTTGCTGGGTGTTCGTTAACAAGTTCATATGTCGAAAAGTAATAAATTAATTCTTAAATTAAGTTCTCTGAATATCGTCCTACAAAGATTGCTTCCAATTACTAAAAATTTCGTGAATTAATTATTTGAACCTAAATAGTGCGTAAGAGAAATTATTACTCCAATGGTCATGCAAGGCAAAAAAAAAAAAAAAACATAAACAACACATCTTTTAATATGAAACTACTTGAGATGAACTTAGGACTTCTGGTTCATCTTTACACCTCTTTTTGTTTGTTCACTTTTAGTTTATCTTTCATCCTGTTTCTTTATGATTGTCAATTACTTATACTAAAACTATTAACACTCAATGGTCATACAATGTAATCATTCTTTTTCCTAAATTATTACTCTCAATGGTCATGGAAGGCAAAAAGAGAGGGAAAACATAGAGCACCTTTTATTACGGAACTATTCGAGATGTACTTAAAGCTTTTAATTTCACCTTTGCACCTCTTTATGTTTACTTTTAGTTTATTTTCAATCCTGTTTTCTTTATGATTGTCAATTATTCTTACTAAAACTACTAATATCCAATGGCCATGTAATGTAAGCATTCTTTTCCCTAAATTATTACTCCAATGGTCATGCAAGGGAAGAAGGGAGGGAAAAAATAAAAAGCTTATGAGTTTATTAATTTAATAATATATTGAAAAAGAAAAATTAAGTTTGGTCTACTTAATTCTTTGTCTTGTTTTACCTTATAGTTCCATTAGTTACATGTAGTACAGTCACTTATAATATAATCAATTATGATATGTTAAGAGTGATCAATTCCAAATATATAAATATAAATACACCAGAACAAAACCAATCTTAAAATAAAATCACAATTGTCATTAAACATAAAAATCACATAAAGTATGCAAAGGATCTACCATAGCCCTAACTATGAATTTAACTACTCATAATAAAATAAGAAGGAAAAACAATTGTAAAGAAACTCATAGTTATTTGAAAAGAAAACGTAAACTTAAAATTCCCAAGGGAAAGGAGATGTGAAGAGTTCTTGTTTTTAAAAAATGTTCTCAGTCACTTGCTTAGATTTCGGAAAGATATTCTTCGTTTTCGCTAATGATCTCTACTCCCATACAACTTCAAAAGTTGACTAAGCAAAAGTGTCTAAATTTCAGGACCTAATTGTCTTTAAATAGGGTTTTCCAGCTCTAAAAATCTCCAAATTAGTTACAAAAGGGAATAAATACGGTTGTGCATGCCCATAAGCATGGCTGTGCATGGTCACGAAACACTCAAGTTGGCTGTTAAGCAAGGCCATGCTTCCTACTGTGCATGACTCTGCATTCTATCAAATTTCTTCCGATCATAACCAAAATGATCCTGCACTTCGTTGGTAATTGATTCATGCCAAATTGCAATAATTAATGAGTAAATCAATGTAAAATCCCTATCAAATAAGGGCCATGTGTTTGAAAATAAACTATAAAAACATTTCAAAATATAGACTTATCATTGGATGCTACATCTTGCTAGGGTCTGAACTTTGAAATAATTTGTTAATGTTTTGCTATCTTTGATTTCTTGATCCACTGCTTGAACTTCCAGGCAAAGGAGAGGATATGTAGACTAGTTCAGACCAGTGTTGAAAATGGTGCTAGACTTCTACTTGATGGAAGAGACATTGTGGTACTAACTTGTTTGACAAATTTCCTTAATCTTCATTGTTTCCAACTAAAATACTTTCCCTGATATTTTTGCAAAGTGTTGTGTTAAAATTTTATTTTGGAAGAACACATTGAGTTTTCAGAGCTTTCTTAACAGGTACAAGGATATGAGAGGGGAAACTTTGTTGGTCCTACTATCTTATGTGATATTACAACCAGCATGGAGTGTTACAAGGTATATTTTATTTCGTGTTTCCATATATTTTCTCTCCCTCTCTCTCATTGATGAAGTTATAATAAATTATTCATAGTGGAAGAAGAGAGCCTGGAAAGACAGGCGTCTTAATGATACTTTCTCAAGGTAAAAGTAAGTGATCGTGCTATCTTTTTTTTTTCACAGGAAGAAATATTTGGACCAGTTCTACTTTGCATGCAGGTGGTGTTTAGTCAATACTTGTCTTGCTTTTAACTTCACCTTGTTGAAATTAAAGGACTAACGTTCTTGTTGATCGTAGGTTGAGAACCTAGATGAGGCTTTATCAATAATAAATAAAAGGAGGTATTTGCTCTACCTGGTACTCCTTTACCTCTGTTGTAGTTTCTCACAAAATTGATACTAGTTTGATTCTTTTGAGCCCTACTTTTTTGAAATTTGAACTATGTTGAAAGTGAAACTCATTAAACTTTTCTTCAACATTTTGCTTTTGTTTTGACATTGAAAATGTCTTTCGGCATAACATGAGACTTCATTTCTACAGAAATGGAAATGGAGCTTCTATATTCACCACATCTGGTATGGCTGCTAGGAGGTTCCAGAATGAGGTTGAGGCTGGACTGGTAAGCAAGATAACCATAAATTTCTTCAAGAAGCATGCTTTCTTTTCTACACTCGGCTGATGTTCTTTATCCATTTTAGTAGTCAATGCAAGAATGTGAACACATCAGATACAGGTGCCTTGCTAGAGAGGTCACAGGCCTACTGTTTAGAAACTTGTTTCCATAATGAGCTGCATCTTTTTGAAGGCCACATTTTTTTCCTGCATGTTGTATTAATTGATTGATTAGTTTCGTGAAATTCAAGAGGGTTATTCACTTATTTGCACCTGCCCGCTTTCCCCTTCATTTATTTGTTTCTGGAGTTCCTGAGCCTGTTAGAGGCTGCGAGCTAAGGATGGCCAGATAATACATGCACTGTAAGCAACTTTTCCTCTGAAGGGTATCTATATCAAATTTTCTGCGCAGGTTGGGATCAATGTGCCAGTACCTTTGCCATTACCATTTTCCTCCAATGGGTCAAAAGCATTTGCTGGAGGTTTCAGTTTTTGTGGTATAGTTTGGGCTCTCTTCTTCCTTGTACACTCCTTGGTCATTGATTAAGGTTTTTATGTTACTTGTGCTTTGTTGAATTGCAGGAAAAGCAGGAGTACAGTTTTATACCCAAATCAAAACAGTGGCACAACAATGGAAGGATATCCCTAGACGAGTAGTATTCCCTGTTGCATGCCCATCTGAGAGAGATTCACCGAGGCAAATGACACCGCGAGCCGTATCTATAGATTCTGAAAGTGATTCCCCATCCTATGAGGTACAAATGGCCATCCACGGCGCAGATATACCAAAGACAGCCTTGACATCTGCATCTCCATCAAATGATAAGGATTATAGAAGCCAGGATGTTTCCCTAGTTATTCCTTCAACATCTGAGAGGGATATGTCGGATCAGGACATGTCACTGGTACCATCACCTGCATTGCAAAGGGATTTACCTAGCCAAAGAGTATCCATAGCCACATCACAGGCATCAGAGAGGATGTATTTTTCTAAAACATCTCATTGGAATGAAAGTTCTCCAGGAACATCGCATAGGAGTGAGACTATTCTGCCAATTTCCGAGAAGAGTCATGCGTCTCTATCTCAGATAAATGGAAATATTTATACCCTGCAGAGGCCAGATGCTGCTGCAGCTTTGAAGCAAGAGGGGGGGAAATACATGTGTATGTCACGTAAAACTGATAACATAGCTCAAACATCACTAGGGAGTGATGTCAGTCCAGCGTCTCATAGGATGGATGCTACTGTGCATTCAAATTCTGACAAGGCATACATAATGGAAGCATCCCATTTGAATAAAAGTAATGGTCAAACATTTGAAAGAACAGACCCCATGTTTTCAAATTCTGAGAGATTACACAGGCCTTCAACATCTCAAAGAAATGACAAGATTGGTTCAACATCTGAAAGGACAGATATAGCCTTAACAACAGAGAGAATATATATCCCTGCAGCATCTCATAGAAATGAAAGCATTAGTCCTACATTTCAGCTTGATGATGCTTTGCCTCCTACTTCTGAGAGGGTCTTCTTACCTCCAATAGTACAGAATATACCGGCAAGTTCAGAGATGTTATATATTCCTTCAAATTCTCAAAGAATGTATAATCAAAACCCAATAATTTCAATGGATGAATATCCCAGCCAAGCTTTACCGTCATCTCAGAGGATATAAGATATAGAACCATGTTATGTTACTCCTTTTCTTCTAAATTATAATCTTGTAGACAACAATCATTTCATTAAAAATCTACTTTTTACTTTTCAGCTCTCATCTTGTTGATCACCAAAGCTGGTGGATGATTCTAGGTGTAAAAATGCAAACTAGGAAACATGAAAGTGTCAAATGGAGAAACATTAGAGAGATAGCTTTAAGTTATAATAAAACAATATTTGTTCTAATTCAGTAAGGCGTGGATTGTACAGTAAAGTATTCATGTGTCTCTGCTTCTTTGAATCTAATGCAAAAAATGGGATGAATTATTTATTTTGCCCTATTTTTGGTGTTGCTTTACTCTTCAAATAGTGCAAATATCTGCTACAATTCAGAAATAATTAATGTTCCTATTTTATCCCATTAAGTAAGTAGATATATCAAATATATTGTTTCCTCACTCCAAGCGTCTTGGACACTCGATTTAAATATTGAACATGACAGATAAAAACAATATGGATCTACCTTGTATAGTAAAATAGAGTTGCACTTTCACATGAGGGAAAGTTTTTTATTGTATTTTGCTTTATTGTTATTATATGTGACTATTGTTTAAAAACTTTTAATATTTTTAAAAATTATTTAATTATAAATTATCTTTAACCTTACCCCTTTTTTTCAGCTGCTTAAAATTCCAAAATAAATATTTTTTAAAAAGTCTACATTTTAAAAAATAAATAAATTAACTGCTTATACTCTCAAATTAATTCTTTTTAAAATATTTATTTTCACATTCAGATTTTCTCATGCAAATTTTATCTACGTTACTTTTACATACTAAACTGTAGTGCATAGTTATTTACGTTTCTTTTCATTTTCAAATCTATTAATGTTTTATTCTACTTTCCCTTAAAAAATGCCATTGTTAACTGCAAAAGTATTTTAAGTTTAGGTCTTTTGAATTAATTAATGTGACATCCTACATTTGCTTCATTCTTACTTGAAGAGATTGGTAAGATTTAATTTTTTTTTTACCTTTATTTTTGTACTAAACCGACCCTGCGCTTTTAAAATTTTGCATCTAAGGTCACTATTCAAGCATATTATAAAAATATAATAATTACTTTTACAATCACGATAATTTTTGTAGTGTAATAGAAATAAAGAAAAAGTAATCAGAAGAAATCTAAGAGGTAAAGAGAAAATAACGCAACTTCTAACGAGAAAAATATTCGAAATAAACCTAGGGTTTGTGGTTTCACCTTTACACCTCTTTGTGATTACTTTTAGTTTAATTCTAATCCCGATTTTCTTATGATCGACAACCACTCATACTAATACTACTAACACCCAATGATCATACAATTTTAGCAATCTTTTTCTTAAATTATTACTTCTAATGGTCATACAAGGCAAAAAGATAGGGAAAATATAAAGAACATATGAGTTTGTTAATTTAATAACGATTGAAAGAGAAAAATTAAATTTAATCTATTTTAATTCTTGATCTTGTTTTAAATACTTGTGGTATGGTTGCCTACAATACAACAATTATGATATTTTAAGAGTGAACAATTCTAAACATATAAATATAAGTTCAATGTGATAAAAACTAATAAAAAAGTAAACAACAACTATTATTAAAAAGAAAGATTACACAAAGCATGGAAATGGTCAACCATATCCCTAACTATGGGTTTAGCCACTCATAATAGAATACAAAGAGAAAATAATTTTAAGTAAACCTATAGTCATTAAAAAGTAATACAAATTAGAAGATCTCAAGGAGAACAGAGATAAGAAGAGTTCTTAACTCCAAAAAGTGCTCTGATAACTTGCTCATACTTTAGAAAGTATTTTATGTCTTCACCAATAATCTTCACTTTCAAACGACTCCTAGAGTTATTAAAAGTTAGTTGAGGAAAAGTTTACAAAAGTCAAAGTGTCTTTATCAAGAGTGTGAGACATCTTTATATAGAGTGTAGAATCCACCAAAAGATAATGATTTGGCCTTTAGAAAAATATAATTTAGCCTTTTAAAAGATGTGTTTTATCTCTAATAGAAGATTTGAATCATCTATGGAAAAGATATAATTTTTTGTTTGTCAATAATGCAATTGATTTATGAGTCTATTTATAAGTCGTTGTTATTCACTCTCGGCCACTCCTAAGCACTCACTAACTCAATCTCAACTAAATTTAGCTCCCATTCCTATTTGTCCAATTATGTTTACCTAGGTTGTGACTAACACCTATCTAATAAATGTTTTCTTTGATTGATGCTTAATCTCAGTGCCCACAGATTTTAAGGGTTTTGTATCCTAAGAATACTCAGAACTCAGGAGTTTGATTGTCAAAATTTCAATGTAGAAACCAAGGTTGACACAACATCCTTCATCCAATCAAAACTTCCTAACTCACACTATAGATCAATACATTTCACATTATTAAAATTCATACTAGTTCATGTTTGATAGGTCATGAAACATAATTAATAGAAAAAATATAAGACCAACAAGTTTCAATTGAGATAACCAATATCATGAAATGTAAAGAGAGGAATTATCCTTATTTTGTAGCACCCAATCACCCAAAATAGAAGTATACATCATGTGAATAATAATCAAGCATCTAACAAGTGTAACAAGCACCTATCCTAAGCAATCTAAGTCAGGTTGAAAGCACTTAGATCAAAGACTAGTAGAAAATGACCCTTCATCATGCAGTCACTCATAATCAATAAAATGCAGCAACAATCATATTCATCCATTATTTTTCAAGGGATCTAAGACCACAACATTTCTTTATACATAGGAAAACCTTGCTATCATGCAAACACAATTTCACATCAACATAGAATCAACTATCTACACATATATCAAACAAAAGCTCAATTCAAGACCAACATTCATTACAAAATACAAAAAGGGTAAATTTAATAATAAGCACACATGCATCAACATGCATTCTCAGCAAGAAACTATCTAAATGCACTAAGAAATCCTTGGACTTTCCTTACCTTGTTGGCAGTTGCTTATAGAGAAAGAAAAGAGGTGCAAGAATTAACTTTAAGTATATAGCCTCCTTAGACGCGAAGAAGAAAATGTAGCAAACACCAAGGTATAAGAGGTCATCCTTGGCTAAGGGGTAAAGAATTGAAGGCATCATAAACCAACAGATGTTTGAGGAAAAAGAATAAATTTTCATTTTCTGAACTCACCTACTAATCTCAATTTCTTTGAGGGACAAGGAGGAAAGCTCTAAAGGAGTTGAGTAGCTAGAAAAATAGAAAATATGGAGATTTTAGAAAATGCATAATGGAGGTGGGGTTCAAGGGAGAAAGGGCAATATAAAAGTCTTCTCTAAGAACTTCAAAGAAGGTAGAAAGTTATGATTTTCTCAAGTGTTTTCTAAACTCTCCTTTTTCTCTCAAGCAAAACAAGGTGCACAATATAGAATGAAATGATTCTCTTCCTTATAGAGGCAATCACATGAAAGAGAAAGAAGAGGAAGAAAGATGCTGATTTTCTAAAGTGTTTACTAATGTCTCCCCTTTCTCTGAAGCAGAACCAGGTGCAAAATGTAGAATGAAAGAATTCTTTTCCTCATAGGGGCAATCACGTGAAAGAGAAGTGATGAAAACATCAAGAGTGAAGCCCAAGTCCAAGCTCAAGCTCATGCACTACAAGAACCTGAAGATCCATTACAAGGCTTAAGTCCTAGTAGGTCCAAAATTCAAGAGGCTTAGTGTAAACCTCATCAAGAAAGAACAAGGGTTATTAATTAGTCGTTCAGATTTTTGTAGGGAGCTTGATTAGCCAAGAGTTTCTGAGTGGAAAGTGGTGGCTAAGAATTTAATGTTCCACTAAGATTGTTGCACACTTTTTCTGAAGGTGAATGGTCATCTTCCTTCCCAAGCTGCACACACACCATTTAGAAGGTTCACGCGGATTAAAGCAGTGGTTAATAATTATGTTAGTTTCTTTAGGCTACTAATGATGAATGATTGAGTCTTAAGATTTTAACATTTTAAAGAGGTTTAATTCATCAAAATGGGGCTGATGAGTGCCAGGTGCCAACATCCCTCATGAATACATAAAATCATCATTAAACATGGCTCTTAGTATCTTAAGGTGATATTAATGAGGCTCTAAGTAGAGTTTTAATGCATAATTTGAAGTTATAAGGGGTTGATCGAGAGTTACTCGTGCAACACCCCCTTAATCCACCAAGGCCTAATTAAATGTTAGAGTGCATATTAAATGCATATTTCAAGGGAAAAAATGAAGCTACATGATGAACGAAAGATTTGTCGTGAATCCTCATCAAAATATAAACAAAAATTAATATAATACTAGGGTGCTAACCTAGATCATCTCCCATGAATCATTGGACGAGTAATCAAATATCAAACATATGGTGTGCAGTGTATTCAGAAATCAAGTAAACAAGGGAGTTTTGTGATTTCAAGATCAATGTAAAAAGCAAGAAACAAAATTATAAAGTTCAATCAATAAAAAGTGGTAACCCCTAGTTCATTTATGTAGATTCTATCCTTATTCCTTTCAAGATTTAATACTCTTCCTCTCCTCCCAGAATTAGGTTAATTTAACAAGTAAAAATCAACCTTATGTTTCCATACGAATTAAGCAATTCAATGGACTCCAATCTCTCATTCCAAGATTACGCAACCTTAGAAATAAACCTAGAATTAAGCAGTTCAAGTTTAGAATCTCATTAAAACAAATTAGGGTTAATTAAGCAATATCCCCCTTATTCAACCATTAATTTAATTCAAGAGATTAGGAAGAAGAAATTCATGAAAGAAAAGGAATTATATTAACATTCAAAACCTAGGAATTCAAGAATCCATATAAACTCACTAGAGATTACAAGAAAATTACCCCTCCATAAGGATGGGTCTCACAATTACAAAATGAAAGTGAAGAGAAATCAATAATATCAATGCAAAAATCAAAGAGAAGTAAGGAGAAAATGGAAATCAAACCCTAGGTTGGACCCTTAGCTGTCACCCAAGGCCACCCTAGGCTCTCCAAATTATCCTAAAAACCCTAAAATATCTCAAAGAAAAGGTTATGCAAAAGTTCTCCTTTTTACCCTAAATAGTAAAAATCCATATATAGAAAAATTGACACCTTCAGAGTAGTTACTCTCGTTCACGACAGTGAGCACTCTCGAGCATAGTGATTACTATCGTTTACTAGAGTAAACACGCACGAGCATAGTGATTACTATTGTTCACAAGAGTAAACACGCGCAAGGTCTTAAACTCTAGGGCTCTTTGGAGTGTTTAC